TCGAAACCGGTATCTCCTTACCATCGTTGACGAGTTTTCTCGTTTTCCGTTTGCCTTTACCTGCGCAGATACATGTGCGTCTACAGTTATTAAATGCCTGTGTGAGTTATTCTCTTTGTTTGGCATGCCTGCATACGTACATTCGGATCGTGGCTCCTCATTCATTTCTGACGAACTGTCCACATTCCTACATGACAGGGGAGTTTGCACCAGCCGAACAACTTCTTATAATCCCCAGGGGAACGGGAAAGTCGAACGCCTCAACGGGACACTCTGGAACGCAATCCAGCTTAGACTCAAGACGAAAGGCCTTCAAATCTGTCACTGGGAGTCGGCTCTATCAGATACCCTCCACTCTATACGGTCCCTTCTCTGCGTCTCTACGAATGCCACTCCACATGAACGGGTGTTCCGGTTTGAACGTTGGTCATCCTGTGGTTTATCTATACCAACTTGGCTCACTGTTACAGGACCTGTTTTACTGAAGAGATTTGACCGTGCCTCAAAGTATGAGCCCGTCGTTGAGGAAGTCCAACTTATAAATTGCAATCCACATTACCCCATGTTCGTTTTCCCGGGGGAAAAGAAAGCACTGTATCCGTCCGCCATCTCGCTCCTTGTGGTGATTGCACACATGTCAACGATTTCGCGCGTACCTCATCCAATGAAGGCAATGGTGTTCATGCACCCCTCTATCTGACTTGCACACGCCTCCGCTCAATAACATTGGAGATAACATCGATCATACTTCAGTCTCACCCCCGTGCCCGGGCAATGCACCTGCATCTCCAGATACATATGACCCTAGCATCTCTGATTTAGCCAGGCTCCAGCAACCTATACGGCCCTAGATTTTAAGAAATCGAGAAGCCTAACCACACTCATTATTACTCATTAGATTTTTACAATCATTCATCCAATACCTGTACCCAATTTATCCCTCTCTACACACAATCCAACGGCCAGGGTGAATGTCATGAATATTCTTTGTGCTCACATCGTTTTGAATTAACCATGCTTTCGCCTTCATTTTCAGCTTATGTACGTCTATTCTTAGACAAGGCGCTCGCTATTCATTCTACGCTATTCATTCTTGTTCCTGCGCTCAATCAGAATCGATATTCTATTCGTAACACAACTGCAAGAATCGTTCTTGAGAATCAGAATCGATATTCTATTCGTAACACAACTGCAAGAAGCGGTCGTTCTTGAGAAGTAGTCCACCACAAGTCCCGTCCCGACTGATGGTACATCGTCGTCATATCCCTCTTCTTCCCACCCTCATTATCATCATCACCGTCGATACCATTACGATGATGACCATCAAGAAGGCAACCAGCTGACTGTTCATAGATAGCGGAAATCTACGATTAACTCATGTGAGAGACTGAGAAAATCAAGCAATTAATTATGAGATATCAACAACCAAACCAGCAACATAACCATAGATGTACGGGGGAAAAGAATGATAAGTCATGGGAAAACAACCCAATGGACTACCTCTGATTACGCTCTGATTAACAGAAAACAACTGTAATTTAATCAAATTCGAAGCGCGGGGTTGAACCAATCGTCAACCTAACATCGCTCGGTGATATGGATTTACAAAGCGGAAGAGACTTACATTTCCCTGTACTGATCGAATGCCGCGTTTATTTCAATCTCACGCTTTCGAAGGTTTTCGCTGGGCATTGCCCCATCCTCCAGTGGTGGGTCGTACGTGTTTGACCATGGCGATCGATAGGAATCTCCATCTCGATTGTAATCACACAACAGATAGTCACGACCCGCCTTGTTGTCACGAGCAATTTTCAATGGCTGGTCGATAGAGCTCAGTATATCTTCACATAGGTCCGGAGCAAGGCTAATGATATCAAGCAGAGTTCTGTCAATCTTCTGCGGAGGCAACCGTCTCATAAGATCCATCACACTGTTTAGTTGATTATTCTGACAGGGTCGAACAAAAGTTGCCATATTCGTTGAATAATCCATAAAGGTACAGAAATCTTTCAGGACGATCACTGGGTTCACCGTAAAGTAAGGAAACCTGATATCAGACAGCCCAATGGAACTAGCGGCCGGTATAAACCGAAAAGTTCGCCTCCATACGGAAAATCTCCAGTTACTCGATTATAACTGCAAGTAAATAGGCATCTACAATTGTATGGTTTAATAGTGAACATTCGCATCCCAGCCCTCGTGCCTCATTCGTGCCAGCTAGGCACCGAAAGGATGCTACAGCTGAACGATTTTTATATTGGCTACCTAATGGGTCTGACTAAAAGAGACATAGTGAGAGACTTGCAATGTTTTTGTACCACGGATTGCTCATTATCACTAAAGATGAATATGGAATGAATAAACAATAAGCTTCAACAAGTAAATGGTCAATGAACCCAGAGCTCAGCAGGATTTATGCGGTGAACAAGCGTAGCGCCGAAAAGGGAGACCGGAAGGCAGGATCCGGCAAGACTGGAATACAGTGAAGCTAATTTGCCCCGAAATTTCCACCATAAAATTCTGTGGTAATATTCCGACATTTTCGAAGTAAATTGCAGGCAAATTTGGGTATCGCAGAATAACGAGAGTCGGACACCGGTGGTCGGTCCTCTAGGCATTCTAGAAGTTCGGTTTATCCCCAGAAAGTTCCCGAGAATACGGTAAAGTTAGTCCGACACACCATGAGTGCATACAAGAATATATCTCAAAGAGTGAAAAAGCCTTAAGGTAGCTCAACATCCAATAGTGCATAAGTTGAGTTATAAAAAGCACAATCGTTTACTTGCCAAGTAATCCAAAAAAACAAGCGTAAATTCCACTATCTCGGTTAATAGCCTACTGGAGTGCAACCATTAAAATTGTATTTACGTTGCCATCATCGAGGACGGTGAGTGAATCGGAATCGACAGCGAATGTCTTCCGGGATGAAAAGGAGAAAGGCATACGTAAGAGGTGTCAAAAATCGCACAGCCGCGTGCTTCCAACATGACTGCAGAACAACATTACACCTACACAAAACCGGATGACTATAGGAGCGCCCATACACAGCGAACTCGTACACCAGGTGCACTGTACAAATATTGCAATAGTATGTATAGGTGCCGGAAAGAAATCGGATATTAAGGCTCCAAACAGTGTTGGGGTGGAAGATTGCGCGTATCGACTATGTATTCACCGGCACTGAACGGAACATGTCTTGATTTAATGTTAATACCCGCCTCCTCAAGTTAATCACCCTGAACAACCTGGACAGAAGTTATCATCGGAAAGAAAAAGAAGGGGGACGTCAGCGGAAGCTGGTTTTCGCTTACCCGCTCAGCAGTATACAGCAGAAAAGGCACCACGCGAAGGCCGGTGTGGCATAAGAGTTTGGTTAGTTGTACGTGGGTTGGGATACTGTCAGAGCACCCACACCTAGACAGGATGACGATTATGGTCTTATACCAGAGCTTTCGGCCCAAAGAACAACCGCAAGGCAGCGGCGTTTCTACGGATTAAGTGGCCACATGTTCCAAACCCGACCTGGAGGACCAGGAGACTGTTTGTGAGACCTCTAACTACTGATCAACCTGGTATGAGACCCTGTGGATGTCGCTGGGACATCCCCAGTATAGTTTAATGAGTCACTGAGGTGCGAAAAGCGTCGTTCAGCTGTAGCACCCTTTCGGTGCCTAACTGCCATGCCACCCGAAGGTTGCACGAGGGCTGGGATACTGCCAGGTTGCCCAAGCATAAACAGGGGAAGTCGAGGGCAGAGGTCCGGGGTCGAACCACGGACTTCCGATCAATTCGCGCTCTAACCAATTGGGCCATCTCGCGAAAAGCGTCACACCACGGTAAGGTCGTTTCTTCATGACGGCCTTTATGGAAGTTGGCAGTGAGGTGCGAGAGTCCATGCCTACGACACTAGCAGTGAGAATGAAGCATATGCCGTAAATTGTTGTAAGGTGCAAACCGTTGTTTCGAAGACGAAAAAATCTGCATGAACTTGGTGCTTCCAACACTGATTGTGAAAGACATTGTTCGCAACAAACACGCAGCCGACTTACAACGTTCGACATTGTGCGAGTCCGGTTAACCACAATAGGTTAATGAAGATTCTAAAGGAGAACGACTTCTGGGCTGCTGAAGATCAAGAATGGCTGAAAAAAAGTGCAAGATAAGTTCACCACGTATCGGTCAAGGGTGTTAGTCCTAAAAGCAGAACAGCTCGACGAATATGAGATACAAATAAAAAAGAAAACTTGCGAAGTAGGAGATATTCATAGCCGTTTTATTTGCGTGACACCCACCGAAATGGATTAGATCTTGCTCTAATTTGTTATGCAAACGTGTACACTAAGACAGAAATGACCCACAAGCTGCTGAAAAGGTCAGCTCACAACACCACATTTACCCTGGCTGAAGCTAACTCGGATTGAAGCCATCATTGATTCAGCAACAGGTGAACAAAATTTTCGCACACTGGTGGTAGTAATGAGAGGAGTTAAATTCTGGTCATCCTCGAAGTCGTTTACTCGGCTAACTGTATCCAGAGACTATTCGGTTAGTTGAAAAAAGACTCGAGCCCGCCCAGATACTTTTTCATTCGCTTCCAGTTAGTAAACCACATTGTTGAATTGCTCGTGGGAGAACAGAGGCTATGTGATAGCCTGGATATACATAACAGCTAAGTGACTAAGGCTTTTATTAGACTCGGCGAGTTTTGCATAAAACACTAACGACGCATGACAATTAATTTTGGTTTTGAAAACATATGCGCTTCAAGGCGGGACGGAGTTATCTAGACTGCCGGAAGATATTTTGACCAAAAAACTTTAGGAGGCCGGAAACCCAGTGGATCGCTCCCAACGACCAAAAAGTTTGAACAAGCAGGTCTTAACTTCCTACATGGGGTTTGCGGGAAAATGAACAACCCATGGACAGAAAGCCTTGCAAAAATGACGCTGCACAAGTGAGTCCAAGTACATGGAGGGAAGCGAAGCAACAGATGGATGGATGAAAAGTGGATATCGTGAATGACTGGACAGCAGCAGCAGCAGCTGTAAAACGTGGATAGGTTGTACGCCGAATCTGGCTGCTACAGTTTCATTCACGGGCTATATTGAAAACACGAGCAGAGCTAGGCACTGAAGGCAATAGCTGGCACCCATGCAAGATGAGTTGAACAGTGATGGCAATAGGGTTACGGACACTTTAGTTATGGCAGTGAGGACCAGTAGCAACGCGCTGCATTCTATAGCTTGGGTGCACAAGCATTATTGTCTGTGTGGTTTGGAAGGCTGTCAGTGTCCTGTCTCGGTGCTTCCATCCGGTAAGACTGCAGCTGCTAGCGTTACTGAGTCCTCATGCGTCATTATCAGGTCGTTGTGTGACCTCTCTTAGCACACGGTCCGCCTGTATACCAAGATGGCAAAGACCGAGAAGTTTCACGCACTGTGAACATCATTCACACTACACTAGTGCTGAAAACCGATCCTTCACTGTCCTGCAAACTGATTATTTGATGGCTCTGCAATCAAAGGTGTTGAAGGCAAGAGTGAAGTCAGATCAAAGTTGTGCGAACAGATCAAATTACGTCATTCAGACTAAACTATATCTGTGCCACTTACCGAACAGTAGTTCGAACGCTATCGCAAAGCTCTTGATGGCGAACACAGTTCTTGTGCTCAAATCTAATAAACTTCACCTTAAACCGTCTTGGGTGTTCAGGTCCTTATGAGTGACACCCTTGTTTCGAAACTCTAGAGTAGTAACCGATAGCCACGTCATCCAGTTGAGCACATGAGTGGCTTGCGGGTGGTGGCCTCCAAGAGACCCGAATGCTTATGTTGAAAGTCCGTGCTGGCCAGGTGACGTTCAGCTTACAACTGAAGAATTCGCTCCCCATCATCCGTACTTTGAGAATAGACTTCGAACCGGACCTCTGCATCTCAAATTTTCCCGTCTAGGCTTGAGCAGCCTGGCAGTATCCCAGCCCTCGTGCTTCCTTCGGGTAACATGGCAGCAAGGCAGCAAACGAGTGCTACAGCTGAACAAAAAATGTGGAACCCCCTAGCTCGCTCTAAGCGGTTTGAGGAAACCGACCGAGGTGAGGTCTTTTATGCGTATAGATAGACAGAAAGGGAAGCAAAGTTTCAGCAACAGATGCCTGTCCCCAAATTTGACACAGATCATTGAAAGCTGCAACGTGGACCATATCTTAGGGGTTTAGTGAGGGATTCATTTAGTTTATTTTGCTGAGCGATAGCTCACATACGCATTGATGGTTAGTGGAATGGCAAATAGGCTGGCCGCAATGCATCATTCGACAGGTTCGGTTGTTGGTGAGGACCAATGACCAAAGAGCTGCAAGAGCGAATGGTACTTTCCAGTTGCCCAGACCGGAGGGTTTGGTTGGTATAATACCCCCTGAGCATTCAAGTCCGACCCAATAGGCAGTGGGGCATACCCTGTTGAGCAAGTGTAGTTAACAGTACGGATCGATCAACAGAATCGAATGCACCCTTGAAGTCAAGGAATATCAAGACTGTGGGTCGCCTGTACATGTTGCGTTGTTCTAACACCTGACGGAGTGTGAAGATGTGGTCAACGCAGCCTTTACCCAGTCGAAATCCCGCTTGATTCTCACGAGTCAAGGTTTCGCGTGGTACCGTAAGACGACGAAGGATCAGTGAAGCCAGAAGCCTTGTCACAACGGGCGTCAAACTAACACCTCTGTGATTACTACATTCACTGCAGTACCCTTTTGGAAAGTGGGCACCACTATCGATTCACCCCAGTTGTCTGGGACGGCCTACTTCTCCCAGATAGACCCAAATGTGCTGGACAGGCACTGGCTGAGGAATCCAGCGCCATCCTTGAAAACAGCAGGTGGAAGGTCGTAAGGATCAGCAGCACGATGACGCTTGAGTGGCGAAATACATTCGGACACTTCTGAGACTTTGTCGCAGTACGGGGACTCACTGCTCTTCGTCTGGCTGCTCCACATTGGCATTCCTGGCCTGGTTGTACCTTAAGGAACTGAATTCCTCAGCGTGGCCTGCAAGTTCTTCGCGGCACTGAAGCTGGACCACCACGACAGGGTAACAGCATTAGGTTGGGGTAACTTCAGAGGCTCCACAAAGATTTATACTTCCTACTCGCCTGCACAATCCCTCCTCACAAACGCTGGGACTATTGGTCTTTTTGATAAACGCCATGGAATCAGAAGGGCAAACTTCGGTTGAATGAAGTTCTGATAGTAAGCACTTTGTACAGTGTATGGTTTCAAAATTGGACGATTTCAATGGAATGAAACTGTTGCATGCTTTCTGCTTGAGGTGGAGATCTGATGATCCAGCTTCGAGGTTCAAAGTGCTAGAAATCGGCCTTGACTCTGGGTGGATGATTACTAGAATCTCCGGGAAACCCGCGTAAGTTTGAACTCGAGGTAATCTAGCTGTTGAAACAATGGCGTGAACGAAATTGAACTGATCACATTGTGGGCTGAGAGGCCGCTTCAATTGGTGTGACAAATAAAAAGTATATGACCTATTGACAGGGCTTGTATGATTAAATAGTTGTCATGTGCAACATATGGAGTGTGCCGCCGAAGATTGACGAGAGCTCTCCTAATGGAAGATCTGAACCCGAATTTGATAGCAGTTAATGGAGCTTGGTCGTCAGCTGCAATGCGACTCGTGATCCATACTCCGATCATTAAATGAGCAGAATCACACTTCACAATCACAATCACTTCAACATACGACATTCCATCCTAATCCCATCGACGACTTTCTCTATCTGACGCCTATGGTCCACATATTGATTTTGCTGGACCAATTCACAATCAGCAATATCTTATAATGGTTGACACTTACAAGTGGCTGGAGATAATCATCATGGGTTACATCACTTTTCGCGCCATAAACTTGCAACTCCTTCGTATCTTCAGTTGCCTCGACACACAAAAGGCAATGGTTTCGGATAAATGCAATGCATTTAACTCGGCGGAATTCATCTCGTCCTGCGAGCAAAACGGTATTCATCGCGTTAGGTCGCCGCCATTTCATCCTCAATCGGACGGCCAAGTCGAACGTTCTGTCGACACCCTCAAACGAGTGCCTCGAAAAATTAAAGGAGATAAACTTAAGCGGAGATTATTGAAAGCTTTCTGTTACTGTGTGACGCTTTTACTCAAGTGTGCCAAGCAACAACTCACATACAGAAGGACTTTGTGGGAGTAAATTCAGTTTGCCCATAGATGTGGTAAGCCTATCTCCCGGGCATCTACAAAAATCGAACGCCCATGTCGAGCGACAGTTGGACTGCCGTCACGGTGCTGCTCACACCACTTATAAGTCCGGAGATATGGTTTCGGCTAACGCCCATGTCGAGCGACAGTTGGACTGCCGTCACGGTGCTGCTCACACCACTTATAAGGAGAGAGATATGGTTTCGGCTAAGAATATCCTCGGAGGCGAGGATACTCCAGAGGAAATGAGCGAAGTACCGTGAGACGAACCTCGGAATCAACGGAATTAAGTAGCACTTAATGAGAGTTACGTCCCGCCTGCATCCTGAGTAGCCGAATTGCTTGGTGTATTCCAGCAGCCGTACGACGTAGGTCACATGCAAAACTTGCAGCTTCACCGCGAAAAATACGACGGAAACTTCGAAAAATCATCCGCACAACGGCGAATGCACTGAACATAGCCTGTTTGAGGAAAGCCAGATACTCAAGTCCTTTTTGCTATCTAACCTCGTAATGTCTTCTGGTTCATTATCACAGAGCACGGCAAAGGCGCCCGCTGGGTCCCCTCCGAATGACG